ATTCATACATGAGGACACTCTGTACCAAAACACTTTGAAGGTTCTCTCTATTTAGATAGTTAGTTGCCTTTCAATTATTCTGACCAAGATGGATAACTTCACACTTATCCACATTAAGCTTCATCTGCTAAACTTTGGCCCATTCACGTAATCGTATCCATTTGTTAATTTCTTATTTCTTTGTTGAAACTTGTTTTCTCATCTATTTGAGTATCATGTGCAAATTTGTGCTATAGTACCTTCTATCCATGCATCCAAGTCATTCAAATAAATTGTAATTAGTTACTTGTCACTTCTTATCCCAAGCCTGGCTATTGTCCAGGTCTTGCTGCATTTGAACATGGACTACTTCTGTATCTGAGGAGTCCTGAATTGTGCTGAACTCTGCACAATCATCTGCAAATATTCCCACTACTGACCTACCATTAGAGGGAAGGTCATTGATGAAACAACTGAAGATGGTTAGGCCTAAGACACTACTGTGAGGAACTCACCTCTGAGCAAGGAGACCCAGGTTCAAGTCCCATTTGATCCAGAAATTGATTAGAAAATATCTACCCAGGTATGTCCTGGAGCTGAGATAATTGACCTCCAACAACCACAAACATCTTCCTATATGCCAGGTATCACACCAACCAGTGGACAGTTTGACACCCACCCCCACCCAGTTCTGCTTGGGCTTCTTGTGGCCACAGTTGGTCAAATGTGGCCTTGCTGTCAAGGGCAGCCACTTTTGCCTCACCTCTGGAACTCGGGATGCCAATAAATCAAGAAACAATGTGGATATGTGCCAAGGCATAGCATGGTGGAAGGCATTAACCACCCATCATCAACATTCTGAGAATTGCATATCATTGCCCAGAAACCTAAATACCACAGCTGGTACAGCAAGCCAGAAACTGGCAACTCTTGAGTAAGCGACTCACCTCCAAACTCATCAAAACCTGTTCAGCATCTACAAAGTACAAGTGAAGAGTGTGATGGATATCCCTCACTTTCCTGGATCAGTGCAGCTCTAGCAGCTCAATTGCTAGGGAATGGCCATTCCCGACAAGAGGGAATCTAAGAATTGACCCTGACAATGAATGGTGTTACCATACTGAATCCCTCACTAACAATATCCTGGGGGTTACCATTGACCAGAAACTGGACCACATAAACACTGTCACCACCAGAGTAGGTTAGAGTCTCGGAATTCTGCAGCAAGTACTTCGTCTCCTGACTCCCTAAAACCTGTGCACCATCTACAAGGCACAGGTCAGGAATGTGATGGAAAAATTTCCCACTTGCCTGCATGGGAGCAACTCAATGAACAGTCAAGAAGCTTGATGCCATCCAGGACAAAGCAGCCCACTTGATTGGTGCCTCATGCACCACCTTCAACTTTCATTTCCTCCACTTAAGCTGCTCTTTGGCAGTAGTGTGTACCATTTACAAGATACACTGCAGCATCTATGAGGGAGTGGGGCAGTGGGGGAGGAGATGGGCAAGGGGAGAGCGAGAGGGAGGGGGGAGAGAGGGGCAGGGGCAGCGGGAGGGCTGAGAGGGAGGGGGATGAGGGGCAGTAGGAGGGGGGAGAAAAAAGGTGCTCCATGGTGGCTCAGTGGTTAGCACTGCTGCCTCACAGTGCCAGGGACCCGGGTTTGATTCCAGCCTCGGGCGACTGTCTGTGTGAAGTTTGCACATTCTCCCCATGTCTGTGTGGGTTTCCTCCGGGTGCTCTGGTCTCCTCCCACAGTCCAAAGGTGGATTGGCCATGCTAAATTCCCCATAGTGCTCAGGGATGTATAGATTAGGTAGGTTACAAGGGGATGGGTCTGGGTGGGATGTTCTGAGGGTCGGTGTGGACTTGTTGGCCCAAAGGGCCTGTTTTCACACTGGAGGGATTCTATGATCTCACCAAGGTTCTTTGAAAGCACTTTCCAAAAACATGGCCCTGTCAGAGTTAGAACAGCAAAGTTAGCAATGGCATGGGAATGCCACCACCTGACTTGGAATTATATTCCTAAATTGTGGTTGAGTTAAAATTTTGTCATGCCCTCCAGGATGGCATGGGTAGAAATACATACACTACATGATTAAAGTTCCTCAAACAAAAAAGAAACTCACAATCAGCTGAAGGGAAATTTAGGATGGGCAGTAAATAATGATCTTTCCAATGAAATATACGTCCCACGAATGATTATTTTTTATTCCTTGAAGGGTTGTAGAGGGAGTTAAATTTGAAGTTTTAGTTTGAAAATAAAACAATTGTCCCAATGTGTTACGCTCCTCGAATGCCAGACACAGATGTTTGGGTTATTTAAAGGAAATGATTTATAGACTTTTGCCTTTAGGAAATTGTTCAGCCCAGAAGGTGGCACATTCTAGGCCAGGCTTCCATGGCAACCATTATAGTTGCCCAGTGATCGGTGAGCATGAATATAGACTTCGTGACTTGGCATAAATACAGTCTCCGTGTGTCTGTTCCTTTCCTGCTCATCCACCCTCAGACTTCCTCTCTACATAACACTCGCACCAGCGAGTTTTGGAAACCAATATTTATCCTGTTGGATAAAAGGGAAGTCCCCACATTCATGTATGGCCTTTTACAGCTAGAGAACATCACAAAGCATGTTTTGGCCAGTGAAGCAATTCAGATTCGTGTTCATGATTGCAATGGAGGAAGCGTGGCAGTGAACATGAGCAAAGTAAGCTCCCATAAACAGTTTTACATTATTATTCTGTTTGAGGGACAGCAGTTGGCTCAGATGCCAAAGCCTAGAGGTACCCCACTGCTGTTCTTCAAAGCTCCACGGGAAATTTTACACGTTCGACAGTGATTCCGTCAAGTGTTTCAGATGAAAGAGGTCACCTCCTTAGAATGCAGCACAGCACTGAGATGTCAGCCTCGTCCATCTACAAAAACTCTGCACTGCAACACAAAGCAGTGTTACCTACTGAGGCCAGAGAGAAAATTACTGAGCAAGCCAAAGAACCTTAGGCATCTTTGAAATCCCTAGCTAACAGCAAACAGCAATCTTGCCAAGGCTAAGTTAATCACTGGGCAGCTACTTCAGCCTGTCAAGTGGAAACAGTGAACACAAACTTACATTTAACACATGAGGAAAAGGCCAGAAATATGAAAGAAAGTCTCCAAAGTGGGACTCGAGCGCACAATCTCTAACTCCGAGGTGAAAGCACTTTCAGACCTTTTACAGAGCGTCTCCAAAGCAAATAGGGCTGGCGGCTCTCAGCTGGGTTTGTGGCCAGCAGTGTCCCTTCTGAGTTAATACACTCCAGGTTCACATCCCATTCCAAACATGAGTGGCAGCATTGCGTCTCCAGTGACGACGGCTTGTAATGTGATGGTCAACTCTGTGTGAAACATTGCCTGGTCTGGCCATTCCAGCACGGAGCTGAAGAGCCAAATGATTCGTTGAATCTTTAAATGATTCTCAGTTAGCCAGACTTCTCATTTCTGAGTGCCTCTTTGAAACATAGAAAATAGGAGCAGGAATAGCCCTCCAAACCTGCTCCACCATTCAATATGATCATGACTACTTCATCCAACTCAGTCCCCTGTTCCTGCTTTTGCAACCCCACCCCCTCCACTCCGTCAGCCCTTTACGCATAATAACTATATCAAATTCCTTCCTGAAAACATTCAATGCTTTTTTGCCATAATCAGTTACTGTGACAAGGAATTTGTGACAGGTTTACCACTCTCTGGGTGAAGAAATTTCTCCTCATCTCAGTCCTAAAAGGCCTACCTTGTATCCTTAGACTGTGCGCTGTGGTTTTGGACTCATCAGAGATTGAGAACAGCCTTCCTGCATTTCCCTTGTCTGTCAGAATTTTGTAGGTTTCTATATAGGAGGGGTGGTGGCTCATTGGTTAGCTCTGCTGCCTCACAGCACCAGGGACCCAGGTTTGATTCCAACCTCGGGTGAATACCTGTGTGGAGTTTGCACATTTCTCCTGTGTCTGTGTGGGTTTGCTCCCATTTCCTCCACAGTCCAAAGATGTGCAGGTTAGGGAGGATTGGCCTTGTTAAATTGGTCATAGTGTCCAGGAATGTGTAGATTAGGTGGATTAGCTATGGGAAATGCAGGATTACAGAGATAGGGTGGGAGGGTGGGTCTGGTTGGGATGTTGTTTGGAGGGTCAGCGTGGATTCGACACCATAAGGATTCTATAAGATCTCCCCTTCATTCTCCCAAGGCACTTTTAAACAGCCAGCCACCAAAGACTCATCTCCCAGGTATCTGTATCTATGTCCATCGACTTCATAACTCACTTGCAGGTACAATAACCCAGTGGCAGTTCTCCAGACTGAAAGTCTTTGGGTATACTGCCATTATCTAACAGATGAATGTGACTAAGGCAGTCCATATCCGCTGATGGAATTAGCATGGCCCAGGATTTGCCAGTTTGTGGCCTTGTCATGCCAAGAAATGCCATGGGTACGTCTGAGACAGCAAAGGTATAAACTGTTTCCCCTCTCCCCAACCTCGCATACGTTGTCCAGGTGTCACCACTGCAGTGATGTACAGGAAATGCGGGGTTGAAAAACATGTGGTTTGGTGTTCTCAGTTAAGTTGCTGCCATTCCATACCCTCTCTCAGCTTGGCCATTACAGCTACAGTTATTGTGTAGTCAGGAATTCCCTCCCTAAAGGCATTGTGGGCCACCCTACAGCAGGAGGACTGCAGCAGTTCAAGAACGCAGCTCACCACCACCTTCTGAAGGGGGGCAACTAGGGACGGGCAATAGACTCAGGCCCAGCCAGTGACACCCACACCCCACGAGTGAATAAAAAGAAAAGCACGCGCTGGCTTTAACGTTAAGTGACACATTGCTAATGATTGCAGTGCTGCAAGACGTGACGCTGTCAACAAATTCCAGAATCACATTGTCAATCCCGATAGATGGCAACATCCTGGGCAATGAGGTTTGACTTCCTGATTCTGCCAGTCAAACCAAACTTTGCACAGATTGAAGCAAGTCTCTCCACTTACTGTTGCAGGTGTTCCTTCGTACGGAACACTACAGAGAAAGTGGCAACAGACAGTAACTGCCTGGCAAATAGTTGCCACATATCTCAGGTGGGCAAGGCTGACCAGCTCCAGTATGTGTGTAAAACCCCCTAGAGATGCCCTGAATGCAGACATTAGCAGCACAGAGAAAAACATGCCAGTGAGTGTCAGTGCTAAAACACAACACTGCTTGACCCTGTTGCGGATCTCAAAGGACTCCAAAGTTGTCCTGTCGCAGTTGGCCTCACCTGTCTTGTTACCGTGGAAAGAGGAGCTCATGCTGAACAGTTGTGGTGGGCAAGCAATTTTCTCCTGCAGCTTAAATAGGCCAGCTCTGCTGACAGGGTTGGCGAGCTTCATGATGGCATTTGATAGCGATTTCATTTCCTCAACACAGGCATTGAAGTTTGTGCAGATCCTGTGGAGTTCTGACTTTCCGAGCTCAATGAGTTCAGGCAGTTTAGCGTCAGCACCTGAAGCTTTGCCCATGAGAAGTGAGTCGATACCTTTACTACACTCCTCCATTGTGGATTTGATGTCGAGTTCTGCCATAACAAACAGACTCGCTAGACTATAATGTGAGGTAGTGTTTCTCCCATTTGTCCAACTGCTTACTGCAGTCAGTGATGAGTTATTTGTCTTTTTCTTCAATCAAGCTGTTTCTTCACTGATGGACCTGTTGCCTTTTGGTGTCTTTACTCATGCTCCGGACATTCCTTAAGCTGAAATATATCTCACGGACTTGTAACCATCAGCAATCAAAGTACTGACTAATAGTCTGTTGGACTTGACTTCCAGTGTCTCAGTGAACTGAGAGTGTTCACTTTTCACAATTAGTGAAAACAGCGACATGTGCCTTGAACTTAGCAGCATTTTCAGCTCTTGGCTCCCAAATGTTGAGAGAGCGGTATTGTAGATGATTACCTGAAATATGTTTCATTTTGTTTTGCACTCTGTTTGGGAGTACCAGCGATCTCCTGTTCCACTGAGTTATAAAATGGTTGTTTTTATTTTAAACCTGGGTAAGTTAATATTGATGAGGTTAATATGAGGATGGCATTTCTGCTTTGAATGAAAAATTTTCAAGGGATGCTTTCTTGCCCTATTGCACACCAGAAAGTGATCTGTGCCACAACCAATGCTACAGTAGCTGGGTGTGTTTAAAAAAGTATCATGTCTGGTGATCAAATTCACATGCATCAACGTCCTGATGTCTCCAGAACACCAGGAGGTGTTAGTTGTTAGTTACACAAGGCGTCAATTACAGCCTTGGTCCAATTTGGGCAAAAGAACTGCAATTACAGAGGTGAGATAAAAGTGACTGCCCTTGGCATCAATGCCACATTTGACTGAGTGTGGCATCAAGGAGCCCAAGAAGACTGAAGTCAATGGGAGACAGGGGTTGTCCTCTGGTTGGAGGCATAGCTAGCCACAAGTCTGAGGCCGAACCATCTTCAACTGCCCATCAATGACCTTCCCACCATCATAAGGTCTGAAGTGGGGACGTTTGCTGGTGATCGCACAATGCTCAGCGCCAACCCCTCAGTTATTGCAGCACGTGTCCAAATGCAGCACAATCTTGGCAACATTCAGGCTTGGGCTGACGTATGATAAATAACATTCATGGCACACAAGAGCCAGTTATTGATCAATTACAACACTGGACAGTCTAACCAACTCTCCTTGACATTCAGTGGAGTCACCGATACTGAAGCCCCCCACTCCCAACGTTGTGAAGAGTAATATTGACCAGAAACTGAACTAGTATTGCCAAATAAATACTGCTGGTATAACTGCAGTTTTTGTCACTTAATTCTCCAAAGCCTAACCATCATTTATGAGGCACAAATCAGGAGTGAGTACTTCCCACTTGCTTAGATGAATACAACTCCAACAACACTCAAGAAGCCAGAGAGCAATCAGGGCAATGCAGGACAATTTCTGATGAAGGGTCTAGACCCGAAACGTCAGCCTTCCTGCTCCTATGATGCTGCTTGGCCTGCTGTGTTCATCCAGCTCTACACCTTGTTATGTCAGATTCTCCAGCATCTGCAGTTCCTACTATCTCAGGACAATGCAATATGGCTGGGATTAACTGGCCCTGTTTTAATCGAAAGACAGATGAAGAAACATTGAATTTGTTCCCTTTAAGTGGCTCAGTTTTATCGTTGACAGAAGTGAGTACCTTACAGTGATTGGACACACACCTCTGAGCTTTCCTCTGAAGGCTTACATTACCTAATGAACATATAATGCTTTTCTTTCAGTGATCTGCTCTTGGTGACCCTGGTCTCTTGTAGTGAACAATGGCATTTTCCAGTTAAATCAAGTTCTGCATTGATCACAATTGTCTTCTCCGCACTGTTGTCTGTCAATCCCACATCCATGGTCCTGCTGCTCCAATTGTCAATCAAGTTGCATATTTTGTTGATCTCCTGATGCAATGGATTCCATCCATTTGCTGCGTACCATACATCCATCGAAACTGGTGGACCATTGTAGTTCGGGGCTGCAAGGCTTGAGGGTGGGTTGTGGATGAATTGGAGGGAGCTTATGCCACATATTCTCTCTGCCAATCGTGTCTCTGTTGTAAGCGCTGTCTGCTTGTTTACACTCTGTAACAAAACTGGGTTGTCTCCTGGACAGAATTAACGCAGACCTTGGGCTGCTGAGACATCAGGATCTCCAATCACCCTGAGGCTTGAGGAATGTGAAGCATTATGTTAGGCATTGCCTTTGCTGCAGAAATTTCTGGGAAAAGTTCCATATTGAGACATCAGTCTGGGCTCTACTCCAGTTCTTTTGACATTGCTTATTCTCTTAGTCTTCAGCTCGCCTAAGATGTCCACAAGGCGGTGAAGATATTTGACCTTGGCTAGCAGCTTGGCTCATGAAAGCCAGGCTTTATCTGCATGCAGGGGACAGGCACATGGCATGTCCACATATCCAGCGAGGCACATGACCAAGGCTGACTTTTGTGCTGCACTGACACCAATGTGCCGTTTGAAGTGTCATTGTGAGAAGGAAACACTAGCACTTATGTGGCACCTTTCGCAATCTCAGGGCATCCACTGAAGTGCAATCTGTGGTGGTGAGGCAGGCCTATCTCCCTAACAGGGGAGACTAGACAGGCTTGGATTGTTTTCTCCAGAGCAGAGAAGGCTGAGGGGGAGATATGATTGAGGTGCACAAGATACCGAGGGGCTTGCACAGGGTGAGTAGGAAGCAGCTGCTCCCCATGTTTGAGGGGTCAGTCATGAGGGGGGTATAGTTTTAGGGTAAGGGGCAGGAGATTCAGAGGGAACTTGAGAAAAAAACTTTTTCACTCAGCGGGTGGTGGGCCTCTGGAATGCACTGCCTGAGAAGCAGGTAGAGGCTGGAAACCGAACAACCTTTGGAAAATATCTGGATAAGCACTTGAAATATCATAGCATTCAAGGGCATTGGACAAGCACAGGAAATTGGGATTAATGAGCCTTTAGTCAGTGCAGACTCAATGAGCCAAAGGGCATTTACTGTGGTGTATGACTCTCTATGACTCTACAACATGCTCTAGGCTGCATGGTTGCCAGGGCGACTGTCAGCTGAGTCCTCAAGTGTAGGTTGTGACAGCAATAGGTTGGGGATTTCTTCATCCATGCCCAGAGGGCATTTCAGATGAGGCCACAATGTCTGTAGTGTCCTAAAGGGGTCAGGGGTCAGCCAGGGGCCACGAGCAGTCAAGTCGACAACGAAGGAGCCTAAGAGTGGGTCTAGCTTTACGTTATTATCCATCGCTAGAAATCTAGGGGGGTAATCTAAGCCACACAGATCTCTTCCCCCTCACCCCTTCCCTGTGTCCAAGAATCTCCATGATGCTGAAGACTTTATTTGTGGCTCATACAGCAAAGACAAACCATGGCTCACACGTTCGAGTGTAAGGGGCAAGAAGTGCTTAGGCTCTCAACTTTGCTGAGCTCCGAGATGGTTCAAAGCTGAAAAGCCCTGTTTTTGAAGAGTGTTAGTTGGAAATAAAAGAGAATGGTGAATCACCGGCCTTCCTTTGAGATGCAAGGCATTCCTATCCTCCATTGTCGAAGAGACACAAGTGTAAAACACTGCTGATTCAAGACAGGGTTGACCTGTAAATGAGCTTTGCAAACTGGAGCAAAGGACTCTACTGTACGATAAACTTTCTCGTGTGTTTGCATATACCTCTGTGTTTTGGGGGTGGTGGAGTAAAGGGTCACTGAATCACGGCATTCACACAATGAGAGTACTCTTTCCTGTGTCAATTGCCATCATCATGGTAATTCAAGAAACGTGGCAGCTGAATTGTCACACAGCAAGATCCCACAAACAGCAGCTGAGTCAGTCAGCAGGCTGTCTGCTTTAATGAGGATGGCGGAGGGATAAATATTGGGCAAATTTACCTGTTGGCCTTCCAGCTGACTATCTGAGAGGACCTATCATAAACCAACGATAAGCCTCTTGGGATGGATGTAAGAAGTTCCATTTCAAAAGAAAAAGGAGTTGCTAATTTTCCTAGTTTCCAAAGTGACATAAAAGAACACAGTGGCATGGATCTCAGACGCACTGGGAGGTTCAGTCATCGAGTGAAACACAGCTGCACAACCACGCTGAGGGTTGGCGTAGGCAGATTGCCTTGCCAACACCAAACCAGAGCACTCATATCCGCATCTTGCCTCCACTGCCGTGCAAAGACCTCAGGTCAGCACAGTCACTGGAGAAATCAGAGGGAATATAGATTCAAGACAGACTTCAATGGATTTCTAGATCGTAAGGACGTTAAGAGATATGAGGCCAGTGCAAGAAAATAACCTTGAGGTACAAAATTAGCCATGATCTAGTTGAACAGAGGAACAGGCGTGATGGGCTGAATGGCATTCTCCTAAACATATTTCTAATGTTCCCCTCCTTGGATCCCCAAATCCCATTATTTTCTAAGGAACTACTGAATTCCATCTGTCATAGACAATTGTAAAAAGGGTTTCGAACCCTAGATGGTCAGGCCTATAATGATCTCAGCATATCTCCCACCCAAGTCTGGCTGAAACTGGTCCCACTGCATCTTGCGTTCAGCTTCAAGCTCATGTTAATGGCCAATAGCATGTCCCAGTTTCATCTGGCAAGGAACTGGATTAAATCTTGAGGGAGAAGCAATTCAACAAATCTGCTGCTATTCACAGAGATTTGTTTTTGTTGAAATAACAAAGACATTTTTTTATCACAAAAATACTAGAAAGCAGAGACAGGAAGGCTGGCACCTTTTTACGAAAAAAAACTTTTGCATTAATAACATCAGTGGGTGTTGATTACAGGAGGACAGTGACTATATTACTGGACCAGTAATTCAGATAAGGTCTGAACAAGTGACCCTGCATCACACTACGGAGGCTGAGGAATTTAAATTTGCTTAATTAAATAAAATTTGAAATGAAAAAGAAAACCTGCTAGATTATCACTGGAAGCTGTCTGGCTCACTAATGTTCTTTAGAGAAAGGAGTTCTATCATCCTAGCCCAAACTGGCCTACATGTGACTTC